ATATTTGCTACATTTAATTACTATGGATATTTAAATTAAAAAGTTTCTACAGTTGTATGAATCAAATTTATGTGAAATAAACAGTTTTAGTTTGAACGATTTTAAACGATATTCTACACTATMGTAATTTATTGTATTTTTTGCCATGTTCATTCACTGTAAAATTATGAAAATATAACTTATTTGTAGTTTTAAAAGCTTTAATAATGAGTTTAAAACATCCAAGTATATATTATTTTTTTTATATAGATAAAGATTCATAAATTCATTTATTTTATTCAACAAAATCATTTATTGCATATTTTTGTTTAACAACTAAAAGTTAAAAATATCATAGGTAAAGCCGGTAAAATAAAACATGTAATAAAGTGGTTATTTAGATAAAAATTACAGATTTAATTTGTACTACTTGTTTGTTTAGATTATACATTGTTATTTTAATTTCATTATGCCAAAAGCTAAACAATCTGCGACAAGTCGTTTAAGAAGTTTTGTGTCAGAATATGGTACTGATGTATTTACAACTGATGGAAAAATATACCTAACTAATAAAAAAAAATATAAATGCATATTTTTAAAGCATATTTTTTCTTTTTAAATTCTTAAGTGCATACATATTTGGTACTTTTTAAGAGCATTAAGTTCCAAACTCTAAATTGAGTACGATAAGTTTGTTTAAAATATCTGGATAATAATTATTTTTTTTTATAAATACATTTAAAATGATCATATATGCATTTTTAATTTCATACAAGATTGTTGTACTTAGTTTGAATTATTCAGTTTGTAATTTTGAGTATTAAGACTTAATATACCTTATCTTGCAAATTCAAATACTTTGAAACATTATTGATAAAGCATAACGAAATAACCAAAAAAGATCTTAGTACCAGTTAAWAGTGGAAAAAGGAGAAGAAAAAAATTACTGAGCATAACTGCTAAGGACTTTATTCTAGAGTACAAACATAATGGATGTAATAAAAAAGCGAAGACTTCAATGTGCGGGACATGCGTATAGAACAGACTGATACAAGCAATGATAGAATCAAAACCACGTGGAAAAATTTCACTGGAAAGTCCTAAAGAAGTTGGGAAAAATTGATTAAAAAAATATGGAATTACATGGTGGAGCCTCAGATTGGAAATAAAAAGGATGAGAAGGTTGGGRATAGAGTGTGAAATAAAATTTCCTAAGAGGCTTAATAACCATGAGAAGAAGAAGACTTAAAATAAATATGAACTCAAGTGGCAAAATAAATTAATTGGTTGGATATTTGATTATTTTATAAATGTATTGCATTTGTAATTTTTACACTATACCTACTTATTTCTATAATCTTTATTGAGATAAAAAGGAAACCTCATAAATCATTTATTTTTTTAACCATATAAATTCAAAATTAAATTAATTTTCAAAACATTTCTTTAACTTGATGTAAAAAAAAAAAAAAACAATAGAATACAAATCAATTTAGTTACAGTTCAAAACTAAAAAGATCAAGGCTGTTGTTATTTTTTTTTTTCAAATTCGTTTTTACCTAATTTAATTTATATGTACCTAGGTATAATGTATATATATTTTTCAACTTTCTAACTCAGAAATATAACTATATAGCCGAAAAATTATTTGTATTTACAATGGTATAATAAAAAAATAAAAACCTTAGCTGTTGGCTTACATCACATATAGTTGACTATATCAAACTTAAAATTTTAGGAACATGGCAGAA